GTGGAGGGTATCCTTCTGCCTTGGATGTGGCTCAAACCTCACGGTGAAGATGTCTTCCTGCCACACTGCACTGACTGCTGCGGTCCCATGGTTCTGACTGTGCAGAGCCTGAGGCAAGAGAGTGAAGTGTGTCAGCCTGTGCAGCTGATAACACTGCCTCTGTCACACTCAGGCCAAAGAGTATTTGCCGGGACACAGCACTGAGTGGCATTCAAATAGTGAAATTGTGGTAGGCACCTTTTCCTCATCCCTTGAACTGTGTCATGTCCTTTATCTTGTGCCTCATGATGCGTTTTCATTTTCCTCATGGGGAGCTCACAGCGATTTTTCATCAGAATGTTCTTCCACTTGGCATTCACCAAGTTTATTTTTTTATGTTTTTTACCAAATGTGATTTCCACATTGTAAAGTGATGGCACAGAATGTTTTCTTCATCTAAAGTTGTTGTTTCTTTATATCTGTATGACACTTTACCACAATGGCAAGTGATTCTCTATCTCCTTAGGCCGTTGCCTTCTCACAGTGTGTTTCATGGCATGAGGCACTGACAGAATAAAGAAGCGCTCCTTGAGAGCAGAGTCTCTTATCAGCCTCCAACATCTGGCCAAGACTGATGGGCTCTTGGAATAGCTCTTCAAAAATCATTGAGTTTGAGCTGCATAATGCTTGTTTAACTGCATCCTTCCTATACTAATTCACCCCCTTTCATTATGTGTCTTTCATCAGAGGAATCCATTTCTATGATTACTAAATTTAGTTCCTCCGCACAGCAGGACTGAAGCGAGGTAGTACACTAAATGATAGGAAAAACTGAGTTTGAAAGGTGAGTCAAGGCATATGAGAGCAAAGGAAATGAAATATGATGGGCCCAGTCAGAATCATACATTACAAGCCAGAAAACACATTGAATTTTCAAGCAGTTAGGAGTTTAAATGTTTGACATGAAAAGCAATTTTCTCTGATAGGCACACATTTTTTGCAGAAAATGAGTCTCGCTGTATTGGAATCATCTCTGTTGATTTAAAACGTATGGCCTTGATGCATTGCAGCTCATTAGATTAACGCTCTGGGGTAATATGTGACAGATTCAAGAATTTATCCAAACACCTGGCTTTGTGTCTGCAAGTCAATGGATGCCAAACCTCTGATCACACACGAGGAGGGTGTGAGCAGATGTGTCATACTGAGCCAGTTTTGTTCTTGTCACAACAGTATGGCATGAGCAGGATGGGCCAATCAATTATGTTCTGCTTTCTCTTAATCACAGACGAATTATTTGGTAATATAATGAACAAAATAGCTTTATTGTATAATAGGAACCTTGTGGTCAGATGCTTTCTTCACAGCTATATTCCCCTACAGCCCCCATCCTTTTTGTCCCATCCATAAAGACCAAATCCCTGTGTACAGAGAAACCCAGTGCGCTAACCTCCACTGTGAGGAGGGTGCAGACAGCCAGGTGCTGCCTCCGATACTCTTAGAGTCAGCAGCTGCTTCTTTTCACCTGACAGCGAGGAGCTTTACTAGAAGGGTGAAGCACATGCAGAGGTTCAAACAGTCTTCTGCAGATATTACCCCGACTCGGCACAGTTATCCTGACCAAACAGTAGGCGTCACCAGTGCTGCTGCATGTAACTGTGTCAACTGGGTTTTACACAACTGGAAATACTGGATTAAACCTGAAAAGCGCAGTAGTGGGCAAGTATTATATCATTAAATGTAGGTGATACCAAGGATTTGCAACACTTTAGAATGCTCCCCTTAAAATGTTTTGCTTTAATACATTTAGAAAAACTCAAACATTTTGAGCCCGAATTGGCGTTTCATTTGGTCCAGAGGTACTGTATATCAGTCAGGTTAGGCATTTGGAAGATGTGCGTGTTTTACACACTGATTACATGAACTACCTCAACTGCCATTGTGAAGCCGAGGTGTCACACAATGAGTCAGAGTTTTTGCTGCTTTTGTTTACTTCTAAAAGCAACTAAAACTTTCAAAATAAAAGGAAAAATACAATTTGGTTATAATTATATTGATTTATTATGTCCTTCTGCCTTTATTCGACTGCCAGACAGTCAAAAAACACAGAAACCAGGAAACAAGGAAATGAACTGTGGGCACTGGGGTAAATATGTAGGCACTGTAGCATTAGGCTAGACATTCCTTCACTTTAAAGGATCACAATTCATGCTGATACATAGACCAGCATTAGCTTATTACTAACATACTGATATTTTCCTATATGTAAATATCAATAATATAAAGTAGGTAGTTTAGAAGCAGTAATAAGATTTTTATGCCTCCACACCAGTGATAGCCATGGCCAGAGGCATTATGTTTTCAGGTTCTTCTTCTCTAAGTACATCCATACACCCATACGGCCCATTCTGGTGAACACAATATGTCAGAAACGGTTTGGGGGGATTTCAACAAATTTGGCACAGATGCCCATTTTGACGCAAGGGTGAACTGATTATATTTTGATGGTCAAAGGTCAAGGTCAGTGATCTCATGTCAGTCCATTCTCATGAATTTGACTAGCTGGTGGAGGCATACAACTGTCAAGCACTTATTCTAGTTTCACTTGTAAAATGTCCTGCTCAGGGCATACTATGGTTATAGTTCTTTAAATATTGAAGCAAATTCTACAAAAGCTAAGAATAGAGCAATTAGAAAACATATGAGAAAGTAGAATTAAAAAAGTTAAGAACAAGACTATAGGTGATCACACTGAATGAAGTAATCATATTGTGATCAAGTTTGTGTTGTGTCAGGAACTTTCTGTCACCATAAGAAAAAGGAAACGTGTTATGGACACAATAACAGAATAATTATCCAGTATTCATGAGCAAATTAAATGTAAAACTAAATATGCACTTGGTCTCTAGATTCCCATACAGGTAGAGATTGTCGCTTAAATAAATCTTAATGTCTCTAACTTATTTGTTCTCTAATCCTTAGAGTCAAAGAGGAGAAGCGGGGAGCAAATGACTAACTCTTGCTGGTGAGACTTGCAATGCTCCAAGCTATAGCCTGTGAATCATCATCATCATCATCATGAGATTAAAAGCAAAGTTTTTGCAACTTTGTTTCATTTTTTTTCTTTTCGCCTGCTTGAGTAACATTCCTGTGAGGGTTTCCAAATCCAAAATAACATACCATATAATTATTTGTTTTTATGTAGATCCTATTTGTGATTTTTTAAATACTTGTGATAAAGTATAATTCCTACACAGGCAGAGCCTAGAGGAATAATGCAACATGACCAGAATGTCCTAACTATAGTACAGTCATCACCATTTAATGTCGGTTATTTCAAGGCCTTTTCTCAATAATCTGGGCTTCCATGGTAGCAAATAATGTTCTCCTTTTCTTTTTTTATGGGTTGTATTTGAAATGATGCATGAATAGCTAATTTCACACTAAGAACCAGCATGCAGTGTAAATGACCAATTAAACATCCCCTTTGGTTTCCTTTCCATTAATTGTTTTACACAGCATTTTAGGAAACCAACATCACAGGTACAGTATGCTGTAATGAGAGTTTGTGGAAATGGCAGACCAGAGATGTCAGCAGCTCACAGGTTAACATTAGTCATCAAGGTTAGGCAACTGGAGTCCTATGAATTTGACACAGAGGCTGCAGAGACCAGCGATGTCATCCCAGAGTCATCCAGAGACCCAGCGGGTTGTGAGAATAGACATCAACTCTAACCCCTTTTGGGAAGGAAATCTCCCCCTCTGATGACTATGATATCACACCATTGACTGGGAAAGAATAACAGCACAGCTTAACTCATCACGTCTTCTGACAATATTTAGGTGTGGAATATACACGTGAGCACAGGCAAATGCAGCTATGTACTGCTCTTTTACTGTATTGTCTATTTGTTAGTGAAGCTCAATCAGCTGCATCATAGTAGCACAGCCTTAACCACTGGCTCTTACAGTATACAGAAATGATCACCCAGTCATATTTCTCTCAGAATAGGTTTCACAATGTCACTGCATGTCTTCTAAAACATGACACTCCATCTGTCCTATGTTAAAAGCAAATTAGTCCATAGCAGTATCAATAACCAAAGCCCTGGCCATTTGTTAAGCAATTAAAAACTCAGTTTTCAAAGCGATTTGCTTAGGGTGATAAATGTGCTCGTAATCCCTTAAATGGTGTCTCTTAGGCGGAATCACAAGGGTGATGGATGTTTCATTAGGGACAGAGTCCAACTTAAAGTAAATAAAATTAAATACAGCTTGTACTCAAAGATATCAGTCAATTAAGAAAGCTAAATGTGTTTCATACTTTCCAGAGAGGTGAACGAGAAAAAAACAAGGAGCCAAATGTTTCTTTCAGGCTTTTTTGATCATTTGACCACAGACAGCTCTTTTGGCTTAGTGCACATCCCCTCGCCCTCAGGCGCGCGTTTGTTTGTGTGCCTGTGTCTGAATGTCCAGTCATTACAGTATGTTCTAACTTTAACTATTCATAATCTTTAAAAGTCCATTGTTTACTCAGTTAATAGAAAAGTTTTCTCAACTGATGACCCGGACACTCCTGAACACAAACTTTTCAGACACGTTTCCACTGAGGGAAATAACCGCAGTTCGCATGTCCGCCTCATTTTGTGGAAGCGCAGCCTTTCCGTTCATTCTTGGAATATGCGGCAGCTGCCTCATCTGGAAGTGGTCAGGCTGTTCAGAATCACTCGCCACTGGAGATTGCAGTGTTTCTGTTCGGACAATATACTGACAAGTGCAGCGCTTATCCCAAGCTGTAGTATTAGCGAGCCGAGGCTTTTTCATTTAACATCATATCAAGTTTGACCAACACTGGCCCGTGACGGGTCCCATCGGAGCTCAAATCAGCTCCTTCACCACACCGGCCCACCCCTCCTCCCTCTC